TATATATATATATATATATATATATATATATATATATATATATATATATATATATATATATATATATATATATATATATATATATATATATATTTTTGGTTTAATATTTGAAGAAGAAAATCTAAATTTAAAAAGGAAAAAATATTTATTTTGTTCATAGATTTTGTTCATTTAATTATTTTTATTTATAGTATTTATATTAATTTATAGTAATTATTTATTATACATAATTAGTAATTAGTATAAATTAGTAATTTATAGTAGTTATATTATTTATTTATTTATTTATTTATTTATTTATTTATTTATTTATTTATTTATGTCCAGGATATGTATACTGTTGTGAATGGCAACCCTTGGTTTTATTCTTTATTTTAACTATAGATTTATTTAATTTTATATCATTTATAGCTTTAATTTTAGCTTTTGAGAAAAACACATGACAGTTTAAATGGCCTTATAAACGAGAGAAAATACAATAAATACAATGGCACAATAAATACAAATACTATTTCACCTCAAATTCAAGCTTTTTTTTTTTTAGAGGATTGCATCAGTGGAATTTGTTACGATGTTATGTTAGAGATTGTGTATCATTTAATTCATTTAAATATAATTTTAAGAAATGGCTTCTTTCAACATTGTGAACTCTAGGTTTTATTGCTATTGTTGTTTTGTAGTTTTGTTTATACTTTGAATTTGTATTTTTATTGGTATAGGCCTTTTACATCTGGCCAATGGCTCACAAATAAAAAACTCCTCTACCTGACTATGCAAAAGTCTTGTTGCATATCCAAGTTTTAAGAACATCAAATAATAACTTGACTTCTAGTTGATCGTTTAGTATCAGATGTGGCCTATAAGTTCCCTCTAGAGTATGCTTATTTTATTCTATTTTATTTATTTTAAAATCAAATATGATCATGCCTTAAGATTTAATTATTTAATCAGGACAGTAAGATCTGACTTTACTGAGACAAAAGTCTTGTTACTGAACATAAATAATGTCCAGTATAAAATATATAATATAAAGTCATGCTGCAGTGGCACCAGTATGAATATTGTGTCTGACTCCATCATGAGCTTGGAGGACTGCATCCACTGCAATGACTCAAATCACTGATTAATAAAGTCATCTGGAATGGCAAAGAAAGCCTTCTTTTAGGACTCACAGAGTCCATCAAGATACTTTGAATTCATCTTACCCCAGACATGCTCAATAATGTTCATGTCTGGTGACTGGGCTGGCCAATCCTGGAGCACCTTGACCTTTTTTGCTTTCAGGAGCTTTAATGTGGAGGCTGAAGTATGAGAAGGAGCGCTATCCTGCTGAAGAATTTGCCCTCTCCTGTGGTTTGTAACGTAATGGGCAGCACAAATGTTTTGATACCTCAGGCTGTTGATGTTGATCATACACTCTGCAGATCTTGCAAGCCCCCATACTGAATGTAAACCCAAACCAGGATTTTTCCTTCACCAAACTTGACTGATTTCCGTGAGAATCTTGGGTCCATGTGGGTTCCAGTAGGTCTTCTGCAGTATTACTGATGATTGAGATGCAGCTCAACAGATATTTAATGGGAAAAATCCCCCTTCTGCCACTTTTCCAAATGATCAACTAGAAGTCAAGTTATTATTTGTTGCTCTCACAACTGGGATGGACAGCATGACTTTTGTCAGGTAGTGTAGTCTTTGGGCTAGTACATTTACATTCTTGAACAATGTTAAATAATGTACACCGTAACTTATTGTGACTAAAAAACAAACAAACACACGGTTAGTCAAAAGTGAAAGAAATAAAAATGTCTCAAACCTGACCTCATGTTTCCCGTTTTCACCTTTTTTCCCCCAGAATGGAACGGATGTGCAATCATCTCGCTCCACGGCCACAAGAATCCCCATGTCAAAAGGTATGAAAACAGGGAAAGCAGTGTTAGGCCTGTCCACGAGCACACGCTCCGAGTCCATGAAAATTGAACTTAGGAAATCAGCAGTCTGCAGCTCTGCAGTCGGAGGAAAGAGCTGAGATTGGGAATTAATTAAGCACTACAGAACTGAGAGAAATCCTGCCATGTAAATCAAAGCAATCTCTGGCACTGGGCTCTCCATTTCGTGTTTTGTGGTAATAATGTAAATATTGTATGTCATGTACAGACATTCATGATTGGATCACACACACAGAGTGACTGATTTATGCACAGGCGTTTGTTCACTAACCCTTCATCATATTTATTTTGCTTCCATTCATCTTTTCACTAATGTGTCATTTTGTAAAAGTGCTTGTGGAGGTTTCCTTAATAATGTGTTGAATTAAATGCCACTAAATACATTTTGTGATTCCACTAAATAAATATTTGTTCTGAATTATTTATTTTTAGCCTTTTATTCATTGATTATTTATATATTTAAAGGTCCTATGAAAATAAAACAAAAAATAGATGTTAGTATCAGTGTTGTTCGTTTTAAGGACATCTATTTGTTGGTGTGCTCCAAAAACAGTGACAAAATTCACATTTAGAAGATATAAAACTGATATAAACATGTGACGCTTGTAGTTTGTCCCTTCCTTCTAAATCAGGGGTGTCTAAACCCGGTCCTGGAGGGCCAGTGTCCTGCAGATTTTAACTTCAACTTGACTCAACACACCTGCAAGGATGTTTTTAGAAAGCCTAAGAGCTTGATTAGCTGGCCTAGGTGTGTCTGATGGGGTGGAAACTAAACTTTGCAGGACACCAGCCCTCCAGGACCGAGTTTGGACTTGCCGGGTCTGAATGGATCCATGGTTCATTTCACATCACCTCATACTGCAGTTTCTCATCAACTCTTCTGACCAACCAAATCTGGAGTGACAAAGAAAGCTTTCTTGCAGGACTCCCAGAGTTCATCAAGATTCTTTGGTTTCAATGTCTTCTCCTTCATCTTCCCCCAGACATGCTTAATAATGTTCATCTCTGGGGACTGGGCTGGCCAATCCCGGAGCAAAAATATACCACCCTATCTGATAAGTCAAACATCGAATAACACTTCACAGGACCTTTAATGTTTTAGGCAATGCTTAAGGGGGAAGCTGCAGACAGGGTATTGTTTATTTCTTCATACAGTATATGTATTTTAGGTCAGGAAACCTCCATAATGTGTGAATAACATCTTAAACCATACAGATTTTAATAAAGCATGTTCGGCAGAGACAGTTTTAGATATCTAAGTTCTAACAGTGTAGGAGTTTGATAGTAATAATAGCATTATATAATGCTTTCTTTCAGTAACACAGTCTAGTACAATATGAATATATTAGGTTGTTTAAAAGATTTCATAAAATGAGCTAGGTTTAAAACAAGAAAACAAATTTACATATGGAAACTGGGTAAGAAAATGAACCTGAATTCAAAGTGAAATCTCATACAGCATAATTATTTTGAGGCAGTTTTAACCTTTAATGGATAGAACAGTGTACAGAATTGACAGGAAATAGTTAGGAGCAGAGAGAGGGGAAGGGTCGGCAAAGGACCTCGAGCCGGAAATCGAACTCAGGTCGCTTTAAGCACTAGGGTGCTATATGTAGGCACACTTAACCACCAGGCTATAGGTACTGACTCACACAGCATAATTGCAACCCAAGCTCATTCTGGAAATGTAGCCCTGCGGACGTTTCTGGAGACAGCGATTTACGTGGCCGGAGGTACGTTAGTTTATTTCGAGCGAACGCTGCGGGGCGGTGTGGCGCCGCTCCTCCTCTTTGCGCTCGCCGGCCGAAGGCTCGCCTCCGAGTGGAGGGCTTTCCCGTTGCAACCAGTTTGTCCACTTAGCTCACAGCGTTGCGTCGGCGGAGCGGAGGCCCTGGAGGAGGAGGAGCCGGGCGCGGGGACGACGACCGGGATCGAGTCCAGGGAACATCGGTTCCAGAAATCAGGTAAGATGAAAAACAGAATCCGAAAAATAAGGGCGAAAACGCGGCGGGATCTGAAAACGCGGTCGAAATCGAAGACGAGTCTTTTTTTTTTTTTTCTGGACGGCTTTTGCAAACCGTCGCTTGGGTTTACGGAAGTAGGAGGAGGAAGAGGAGGGCGGCCGAACCGGCGGCTTTTTGCACGAGAATAGTCGGGCGCAAACGGCGCGCGCTCCCGAGAGGCACCCGAGATGCGAAAAAGCACGCACAGCGTCCTCTCGCGGATCCGCGAAAACAAAAACTGCTCGAATACGTACCTCCCGGGACATATCTCGCGGTCCGCTGAAACGTCCGCGGGGCTACGTTTCCACAATGAGCCCAGGTTGCATAATTGTTTTTGTACTTAATTGTTTTTCTTAAAAAGATTGATCACTCAAAATAGGGCTGCTCTATAGGCTAATGGAATAGGCAATTGTGATAACGATATTTCTTAGGATGCGATATTTCCATGGAAAAATGCTGTTTTTAGCTATATTCTAAATCATTTATTTATTTAAAGATATTAAAATAAACAAGTAAAAGATACTTTTCAGATCTAATTAATTCTAAGACTGAATGACTGTGTAGAGGTGGAAACGTTTAGTCTTTAAAAAATACTGGGCTCTATTTTAATGATCTAAGCGCAAAGTCTAAAGCGCATGGTGCAAAAGAATTAAGGGTGTATCGGAATCCACTTTTGGTAGTTTAGGGACGGAAATATACAGTCTGCACCCTGGCACATGATCTAACAGGGTTGTGCTTATTCTATTAATGAGTTATGAGTGTGTTTTGAGCATAACTGTGCGTTCACACCAAAAGCGGTGAGAGCATCCAAGGTCGCTCTGGCCACCCTGGCGACAATGTTGTCTGCCTTCAGCTCCGGCGGCGAAAGCATCAGAATTTGATACATTGATCTCGTATGTAAAGGGGACGGTGCAGCATATTAGTTACATTCCTGCATAAAACAAGCTTTCTAGCATGAGAATGTTGCGCACTTTTTATCAAATTCATTTAAGAATGAAAGATCGAGTTGCATGTGGTGTGGCTTTGCTCCACTTAATTATCAAATATGTTCATATGTGTGAAATATCCTGAAGCAGCTATACTGTTTTGTACTGTCGCATGAGATTCACGCTTTTTTTTAAAAGATAAATATATATATAACATTAATGCACATCAGTAACTTGCCAGTAACTTATCTAATGCATGTTCCTGTAAGAAAACATTGTAAATAATTGAAAATCCGGCGACCGCAATCATCAAACCTTTGGAAAAAACTGTGGTCGGAACCAAAGTTCACAGGTCTGTGTTCTCTGAACTCCTATCAAGCGGTGGACTTCTTCATTCTGATTGCTTGCCGCCAAACCATGTCATAGCTCATTACTATAAAGTTGACTTGATTTCAACTCTATTCAATGCCCACACTGGCGAATACGCACCGCGCTGCTCCTCGCCGCTTTCATTGAAAATTAATGACTTCTGGCTACTTTGACGCTCTCACCGATTTTGGTGTGAATGTACGGTAAGGTGTATTAAACCAATCAGAGTCTCATCTTCCATTCCCGTTAAGAGTCAGTTGCGTCGTGCCATGGTGCATTTGCTATATACAAAGTGGACTTTGCAAGCGGAAAAACTGAATGCAAAAAATTAGGAATGTATACAGAATTAGAATTTAGAAATAGTGGGAAAACAGTTAAACAGAGCATCTGCAGCGCAATGATAAAGAACGAGCCTCCCCCATTTGGCCTCTATACTTTCTCTTTACTTTTACTTTTACTCTTTACTCTTTACTTTCGTGGATAAGGAAACGGTGGAAACTTACTCCACTGAAGACATCCATTAGTCTACATGTTTATTTTCATTTTTTAAGTGCAAAGATTTGTTTAAAACTATTTCTAAATTCAGTTCTAAATTCCAGCAAAGTAATAAATGAACAATAATAACGAAGTGTGATCAAACAACCGAGTTATATCCAAACACACATCCTATTCTTATGCCCCATACAGTGATGCAGACGTCTCCAAAACCCAACAGGACAAATCTAAACTTATTTTGTAAAAACAAGTATAAATATGCATATAATAAATAATACTGCTAATAATAAAAACATATAACTTATTGTGCCGGGTGTAGTGCTCTTAGTCTTTAAAACACTAGAGTGAAAACCACAGCCGATATTCTGACTCTGATTGACTGTTGTCATCATTTCCCACGTTTAGTGTTTATTTTCAGCTCTGGGTTCACCTTTGGGTCACTCCAGCCAATAGCAGAACAGCAACTACTGGGGAGGCGGGGCTAATGATAGTACAGCCCCATCTGATTCTGATTGGTCAATAGATAAACAACCAAATGCATAAAATGTCTGCGATATGTATATTGCAATAATATTGCGATGACGATCATTTTCTGATATATTGCGCAGCCCAACCCAAAAATGAACATTTCCACTCAAGTGGTTCCAAATAATATATCCTGAAGAAGCATCCATTGAAGTCAAAAGACCTTTTATGCAGCAGCAGCATTCTTCAGTATATCTTCCTGGGTGTTTAACAGTAATAAGAAACTCAAACAGGTTTGGAAGTTGAGTAAATTATTACAGAACTTTTATTTTTGGACAAACTATTCCTTTATCATTTATTTTCCTTTAGCTTAGTCCCTTTATTAATGAGGGGTCGCCACAGCCGAATGAACCGCTAACTTATTCAGCATATGTTTTACACAGCGGATACCCTTCCAGCTGCAACCCAGTACTGGGAAACACCCATACACATTCATTTCCCCTATAGTGCATGTGTTTGGACTGTGGGGAAAACCGGAACACCAAGAGGAAACTTTCATTCACACACACTCACACTACAATTCAATTCACCCAAAGCGCATGTGTTTGGACTAGGGGAAACCCACGCCAACACGGGGAGAACATGCAAATTCCACACAGAAATGCCAACTGACCCAGCCGGGACTCGAACCAGCGACCTTCTTGCT